GAACTATTATGCACTGCTGGTGGGAATGCAAAATGGTACAACCATTTTGGAAAACAATATGGTGCTTCCTTAAAAAGCTGGAAAGAGAAATAACATGATCCAGCAATCCTACTCCTAGGAATATATCCTTGAGAAATAAGAATTGTCACGCAAATAGACATATGCACACCCGTGTTCATTGCAGCATTGTTCACAATAGCAAAAAGATGGAAACAACCTAGATGCCCATCAGCAGATGAATGGATAAACAAACTATGGTATATACACACAATGGAGTACTAGGCAACAATAAAGAACAATGATGAATCTGCGAAACATTTCACAACATGGATGAGTCTGGAGGATATTATGCTGAATGAAATAAGTCAGTCACAAAAGGACAATATTGTATAAGACCACTACTACAAAAACTCATGAAAAGTTTTACACACAAAAAGAAATCTTTGATGGTTATGAGGGAGGGGAGGGGTGGGGATGGAAAAACACTAAATAGACAATAGATAAGTGGTAACTTTGGTAAAGGATAAGACAGTACACAATACTGGAGAAGCCAGCTCAACTTGTCTAAGGCAAGGTCATGGAAGCTCCTTAGACACATCCAAACTCCCTGAAGGACCTAATTGCTTGGCTGAGGACCGTGGGGACCATGTTCTCGGGGAACATCAAGCTCAGTTGTCATAGTTTATAAAGGAAATGTTCTACATTCTACTTTGGTGAGTAGCATCTCGGGTCTTAAAAGCTTGTGAGCGGCCATATAACTTACTCCACTGGTCTCACCCCTTCGAGAACAAAGGAAAATGAAGAAAACGAAAGACACAAGGGAAAGATGAGTCCCAAGGACTAATGGACCACAACTACCACAGCCTCCACCAGACTGAGTCCAGCACAACTAGATGGTGTGCGGCTACCACCACTGACTGACAGGGATCACAGTAAAGGGTCCTGGACAGAGCTGGAGAAAAATGTAGAACAAAACTCTAACTCACAAAAACAGATCAGACTTACTGGTCTGACAGAGACTGGAGAAACCCTGAGAGTATGGCTGCCGGACACTCTCTTAGCTCAGTAATGAAGTCACTCCTGAGGTTCACCCTTCAGCCAAAGATTAGACAGGCCCATAAAACAAAATGAGACTAAAGGGGCACACCAGCCCACGGACAAGGACAAGGAGGCAGGAGGGGACAGGATAGCTGGTAATAGGGAACCCAAGATCAAGAAGGAAGAGTGTTGATGTGTCGTGGGCTTGGTAACCAGTGTCACAAAACAATATGTGTGTTAACTGTTTAATGAGAAGCTAGTTCTGTAAACCATCATCTAAAGTACAATTTAAAAAAAAGTGATAAATAAAAATTTGAAAAAAAATGATGGCTACCCATCTTTTTTTTCTGGAATATCCAGATATTCCAACACCGTTTATAAACTAGCCCATCCTTTCCCCCATTGTGGTGTGTTGTCACTTCTGTCCTATACAGAGTTCCTACATGAGCACATCCCCTTTCACTGATCTAGGTATCTGTTCCTGCACCAGTACCACACACAGTTTTAGCTACTGTAGCTTTATGATATACCTTGATTTATGGCAGGGCAAGTCCCCATTTGCTTGTTCTTCTTTCACAGAATTACTTTTTGCAATGTTTTGGAATATTTGCTCTTCCATATGATTTTCGAATCCAGTTTGTTTGTCTTGTTCCACAAACAACATCTGTGGTATTTTTATTATAATTGCATTGACTATATGGGCTATTATATAGAGATTAATATATAGATTAATTTTGAACTTTTCTATCCACAATGGTATATTCATATATATCACTCCATTTATTCAGGTTTTCTTTTTGTGTCTTTCAATGTTTATCATTTCCCTATAAATTTCATATCTTCTTAAGATTAGTACCTTGTTACCTCATAGTCCATTGCGTATTTCAGATTAATTATTGCTGGGCTATTAGAATTTCATTAATTTTGTATATTCTTGCATCTAACAACCCTGCTAAACTTTTTAGTTCTTAGTAGTTTGTAGATGATCTTGCATTTTTAATGTAGACCACCATCTGTTCTGTACATAATGACATTTTAATCTTTTCCTGTTGTTCTGCCATGTATTTCTTTCTTTCTTCTTTTATTTGTTTATTTTTATTACATTGGCTAGGGTCTCCAGTTCAGTTTGAGTTGTAGCAGTGATGATGGGCATCCTTGTCTTCAAGTTGTCTTTACAATTGTGATAATGAATTCTTCTGATATGCACATTCTCACCTCTTTTCCTCTAAATTAACATTACATATTTTCAATAAGGTATGGATTGTGGTCCTATAATGAGACAAGCTTGTTACATTGGTAAGAAGACCCAAAGTTAACCTTATTAGAACTCCTTTCTAACTTTCTGAACCAACCCATCCACATCTGTTATCACTCATTCAAGAGGTAATATATTGGAAAGAACTCAATTCAAGGGTCTCAACTACCATTGGTTTTGCTCTATTTGACAGTGTTGACTTCACGGGAAATGTTTTATCATTAGAAATGTAAATTTAAATCTGTTTGTATTCTTCAAAATTCTCATTGTTCAAGTTATTTTTGTTTTGCAATTTCTTTTTATAGACTCCTATGAACCAGGCTTCAACTCGTTCCCACTGCATTTTCACTATCCACTTATCAAGCAAGGAACCAGGATCTGCAACAGTCCGTCATGCCAAACTCCATTTGGTTGACCTGGCTGGTTCAGAGAGAGTTGCAAAAACTGGAGTAGGGGGCCAGCTCCTAACAGAGGCCAAGTATATCAACTTGTCACTACATTACTTAGAACAGGTAAAATGGACAGAATGGGATGTAACTATAGTGACTATTTGTTTAGCACATAGTACGTGTCAGGCATTCTACAGCATTTTGTCTATGCCATTTCCTGTAAACATCTTAACAGCCCCATGCTGCAGGTGTCAGTTATTATCCCCATTTTATAAAATTTGAAACTCAGGCTCAGTAAATTCTCAAGGTTACCCAAATAGTGGTGGAGTGAGGATTTGAACCTAGATTTGGTTGGCTCCAAAGCCTATGCTTTTTCTCACTATGCTTTATTGTAAAACTAGTCATGGGTGTGAATATAGGTTATAAATGGCCTCTTGTGGCTATTTTTTCAGACAAATAGATTAGCAATGGGAACATAACTTAGAGATGACCAAAATTTTTCAGCTTCTTGTGACTTCATCTGGTTGGTAATTTTAGCCCTGCAATGGTTCTCTTTACCTTCTATACCTTCTCTTCCCCACTCCAAGCTCACTACAATCCAACCAGTCCATACTCTATTTTTATTTTCTGAATTTAACTCCAAGGGAAGATAAAGCTCATCTGAATTTAACCAAATAAATCTTCCAGGAAAAAAATGCTAATCTTGAAAATGAGTGGATTGAATTAGATGAGTTCTCAAGTTCTTTTCTGCTCTGTGATTTTAAGTGCTGTGAGTTGAATGTTAAAGGTGGCAACTACTTCCAAATTCTAAAAAAAAAAGAGAAAAACGTCAAAAACTGGAGTGGGGAAGTACAGAGTATATTGGTGAGGTGGAAAGAATTGTTAATGAATGTTGGAGGCTAAAAGATTTGAGAAAACAGAAAACCTGTTTTTGGCTGCCTAATGAACCCTTTTGAGACTGATGTTGTCCTTATGCTAAATGCTTTGTAATGGTCAAGCTGGCTGAAAAGCAGATTGAAAGGTGCTTTTCAGCACCTAAGTGTGCTCTGTCTGAACATGGTGCCCAGGTAGGCTTAGACCAAATGAATCCCAGCAACGCAGCACCCAGTGATTAAAGCCTGCGTGGTGTTCAGAGGAGGGTAGGGTTTCTGACAAGACTCAGCATTGCTGAGCTCTCTCATGCACTTCTTATGCTAAACTGAGCTTTTTACTTAATAGGACACTCAGAGAACATTGATATGAAAGCATAATGGACCATATTCAAAGTGCTTTATTTCAAAGAAATCTATCTGCCTGTTTCAGACGGTAGCACTCTCCATTTTAATTCCCATTATGTCCATCTGTTCATACAAAATTATATTCATCCGTTGAATCAGATTTTCAACCACTTGTAATCACTCAAGAGAAATATTCTGCCCCGAATTCTTTTTATCTTCATACTGCATGACCTTTGCAAGCTGCTACTTGTCATTAAAACTATTCCTCTTCCCACGTGTCTTCTCTGCAAAATTCTTGTGACATCAACAGTCTTGGTGGCTATGATTTTCTATATAGATATATATAAAAAACCAAAAACCTGTTGTTGTTGAGTCAATTCTGACTCATAGTGATCCTATAGGACAGAGTAGAGCTGCCCCATAGGATCTCCAAGAGTGGCTGATGGATTTGAACTGCCAGCTTTTTTGTTAGCAGACAAGCTCTTAACCACTGTGCCACCAGGGCTCCATAAATACATATAGATATATTTATATAGCAATATATATTTTATATGAATATATAAACATATAAATAAATGTATATTGCTATATAAAAATATATATATGTTGTTATTATTTTTGTTAGATGCCATCAAGTCAGTTCTGACTCATAGTGATTCTACGTACAGCAGAAAGAAACACTGCTCCCTGCACCATCCTCACAATCATTGCTGTGTTCGAGCCCACTGTTGCAGCCACTGTGTCAATCCATCCCACTGAGGGTCTTCCTCTTTTTTGCTGATCCTCTATCACACCAAGCATGATGTCCTTCTTCAGGTGCTGGTCCCTCTTGATGACATGTCCAAAGTACGTAAGATGAAGTCTCACTATTCTCACTTCCAGTGAGCATTCTGGCTGTACTTCTTCCAGGACTTGACAGTACATGGTATATTCAATATTCTTCTCCAACACCATAGTTCAAATGTGTCAGTTTTCTTTGGTCTTCCTTATTCATTGTCCAGCTTTTGCATGGATACGAGGTGATTGAAAATGTTATGGCTTGGGTCAAGCACACCTTAGTCCTTAGTGACATCTTTGCTTTTTAGCACTTTAAAGAGGTCTTTTGCGACAGACTTGCGTGATGCAATACGTTGTTTGATTTCTTGACTGCTGCTTCCAAGGGCGTTGATTATGGATCCAAGTAAAATGAAATCCTTGACAGCTTCAAGCTTTTCTCCATTTATCATGATGTTGCTTATTGGTCCAGTTGTGAGGATTTTTGTTTTCTTTATGTTGAGGTGTAATAAATACTGAAGGCTGTGGTCTTTGAGCTTCATCAGTAAGTGCTTCAAGTCCTCCTCACTTTCAGCAAGTAAGGTTGTGTCATCTGCATAACACAGGTTGTTAATGAGTGTTCCTCCAGTCCTGATGCCATGTTCTTCTTCATATAGTCCAGCTTCTCAGATTATTTGCTCAGCATACAGATTGAATAAGTATGGTGAAAGGATACTACCCTGACACACTTCTCCTAATTTTAAACCACGTAGTCTCCCCTTGTTCTGTCTGAACGACTGCCTCTTGGTCTGTGTACAGGTTCTGCATGAGCACAATTAAATGTTCTGGAATTCCCATTCTTTGCAATGTTATCCATAATTTGTTATGATCCACACAGTCGAATACCTTTGCATAGTCAATAAAACACAGGTAAACATCTTTCTGGTATTCTCTGCTTTCAGCCAAGATTCATCTGACATCAGCAATGATATCCCTCATTCCATGTCCTCTTCTGAATCCAGCTTGAATTTCTGGCAGTTCTCTGTCGATGTACTGCTGCAACCATTTTTGAATTATCTTCAGCAAAATTTTACATGTGTGATATTAATGATATTGTTTGATAAATTATCACATTCTGTTGGATACCTTTCTTTGGAATGAACACAAATATGGATGTCTTCCAGTTGGTTGGCCAGGTAGCTTTCTTCCAAATTTCTTGGCATAGTCCAGTAACTGCTTCCCACACTGCATCTGTTTGTTGAAACATCTCAGTTGGTATTCCATCAATTCCTGGAGCCTTGTTTTCACCAATGCCTTCAGTGCATCTTGGACTTCTTCCTTCAGTACCATTGGTTCTTGATCATATGCTACCTCCAGAAATGGTTGAATGTCAACCAGTTCTTTTTGGTACAGTGACTCTGTGTATTCCTTCCATCTTCTTTTGTTGCTTCCTGCGTCGTTCAATATTTGCCCCTAGAATCCTTCTAAAGTGCAACTCGAGGCTTGAGTTTTTTCTTCAGTTCTTTCAGTTTGAGAAATGCCAAACATGTTCTTCCCTTTTGGTTTTCTAACTCCAGGTCTTTGCACATGTTGTTGTAATACTTTACTTTGTCTTCTCGAACTGCCCTTTGAAATCTTCTGTTCAGCTCTTTTACTTCATAATTTCTTCCATTTGCTTTAGCTATTTTACATTCAAGAGCAAGTTTCAGAGTCTCTTCTGATATCCATTTTGGTCTTTTCTTTTTTCCTGTCTTCTTTCTTTCCTGACCTTTTGTTTTCTTCGTATATGATGTGCTTGATGTGATCTCACAACTCATCGGGTGTTTGGTCATTAGTGTTCAGTGCATGAAGTCTGTTCTTGAGATGGTCTCCAAATTCAGGTGGAATATACTCAGGTTTGTGTTTTGTCTCTTGTGGACTTGTTTTATTTTCTTCAGCTTCCACTTGAACTTGCATATGAACGATCGATGGTCTGTTCTGCAATTGGCCCCTGGCCTTGTTCTAGCTGATGATATTGAGCTTTTCCATTGTCCCTTTCCACAGATATAGTCTATTTGATTCCTGTGTTTTCCATCCGGTGAGGTCCCTGTGTATAGTTGCCAATTATGTTGTTGAAAAAAGGTATTTGCAATGAGTAAGTTGTTGGTCTTTCAAAATTCTATCATGTGATCTCCGGTGTTGTTTCTATCATGAAGGCCATATTTTCCAACTTCTGTTCCTTCTTTGTTTCCAATTTTCGCATTCCAATTACCGATAATTATCAATGCATTTTGATTGCATGTTTGATCAATTTCAGGCTGCAGTCATATTTTGAGTGCCTTCCAACCTGAGGGGCTCATCTTCCGGCACTGTGTTAGACAGTGTTCCGCTGCTATTCATAAGGTTTTCACTGGCCAGTTTTTTCAGAAGTAGACTGCCGGGTCCTTCTTTCTAGTCTGTCTTAGTTGGAAGCTCCACTGAAGCCTGTCGTTCATGGGTGACCCTGCTGGTATTTGAAACACCGGCAGCATAGCTTCCAGCATCACAGCAACACGCAGGCCACCACAAGACGACAAACTGACAGATGCATGGTAGTTCAAATTTATGTATAAAATATAACTATTTTATTTTTATTCTATATATTTATATACCAAAAACCAAACTCGCTGCCGTTGAGTCAGTTTCAACTCATAGCGACCCTGTAGGGCTGGTGGATTCGAACTGCTGAACTTTTGGTTAACAGCCAAGCTCTTAACCACTGTGCCACCAGGGCTCTGTATATTTATATAGAATTTATATAGATAATCTGTATATTTATATATCTGTATGTATATTTTATTCTGTATAACTAATTTATGTATTTAACAAATATTTGCAAGGCCCTATAATGTACCAAGAACTATGCTAGACCCTAGAACCTAGTGGTGAAGAAAAGAGAAAACAGTCCTTTCCCCAGAGATCTCATAGTCTGGTGTAGAAAGACATGCATGAAATAAATCATCATAAATATATAGCTGACATCCAGGGTAAAGCTGTGAAGAGAAAGTAAAGAGTAAGGGGAGTGTGTAACGGCAATGTGACCTAGACTGATGGAATTCAGAACATGATATTAAACAGAGACCTGAAGAATGAGTGAGAGTATGTCAGGCCAGGATGGGTATGAAAGCATGTCAAGCAGCAGGAACTGGCTGAGCCAAGCGAGCTGTCAGCCTGTATGCCAGTCCAGGGTGATTGACTCACTCAGGGCCTCAAATATATTCCCAGGCCATTGATCCTGGGCTCTCTAATGTAATACACCTGTTTCATATTCACTCACTGCATCCCTGCAGTCATTAACTCTTGACACTCAGATACAAGTGCCTTCACAGGGAAGACTGAGGTTACAGCATAGAATAATGGAGAGAGATTTGCATGAGGGGAAGGAAGAACATGTCCATTATGTGGACATGGATATGTGGGTTGAGGAGGTCTGGGAATAGCTGCCAGGGAGAGAAAGAAGGTGGGTAGAAGAGTAATTTTGGAATTCAGAGCAGATAGAAATAGATGAGTGAGAGAAAACCAGTAAATACATATGGACAAGAATAATAAAAAGAGTGGGCAGACACTTAATGAAATAACAGAATTCAAGGCTTTTATAATTAAATTCTCTTTATATAATAGTTTATTTTGTGGCTAATTAGAGTGGGAGTGTGACACAGTGTAGTTTAATTAGCTTCATTCCTTCATTTATTCATTCAACAAATTGTGATTGAGTGTCCCCTGGGCGCTAAGAGCTGTGTTAGGCAATGGGAATAAATGTATGATTGAGAAACAGTCTGTGCTATTATGTTATCCAGGGAAAGAGCAAAGCATATAAAAAATAAATATAATACAGTAAAGTAAATGCTGTTATTGAAACCCATGTAAAAGTGTCAATAATGAATTATATCCCCTCTGTCTCAGTTTCAATATATACCATGAAGATGGAAATAGACTGGTAACCTGTCCCACATTTATTAGTGCAAATTGGTTATAGAAATTCTGTGCAGAGTTGCAATTGTTCTCCTGGCCCTAACTGTGAGACCTCACACCTGCTAGCAAGGTGCAGCTTCTTCTGAGTTAAATGCAGCTTATCGTGCTCATAAGTAAATAACTTTTGGTTTGCCAGAGTACTGTTGGTTTTGGAGTCCTCCTTGTGCATGCAGTACTTTTTCCAAAAATTTTCCTTAAAAACATTTTAAGCCACAATGACAGGGTACATCTTGGCCCTAGAAGTTGAGTCCATGGGAGAAGAAGGAAAGAGATGTGCATGCTTGTTCTGACTGTAAACCTCACCAAGTGCCCCTGGTGTGACCCGTGGTCTTTATCAGCCCTAACATCAAGTGAGAAACCACTGAGAGTGGAGAGTGTTTGCCCTCTACTTCTTCAGATATCAGAAACGGGGCTGCTTTTAGCCAGTTTTCCAGCACAAGTGGAACTTTCTCAGAGTTTCGATTTCCACTTGTCTTCCACTGATCATGTTGTGTATGGAAGAAAAAAACTAATGGTGCCAGTGCCAGTTGTAACCACTCGGAATTTTTGTCAGTTTTCAGAGGATGATTTTCCATGTCCTTTCAGCTCCTTCAAAGAAAATCTCTTTAACTTACTAAGTAGTAAACCAAATTATTAGTTCCAAGCACAGTCTCTAGACACTTGGAGATATTATTAAACATAATATGACGTTCCATGCTGTTGCTTAAAGAGCTGCTTTGTGAACGTTCTTCATCGTGTACAAACGTGAAATCCAAAATGGAAGTAAACATTAAAAAAAAAGAAAGTTGTATGACCACCTCCTTTCTCTCTACCATTCAGAAGATAATTTGGTTCCTGCCCAATTTAGAGAGTTTGGAGTAGCCCCACAAAGTGGATCCACCTCTGCCTTTCTTCCAAATACCTGCCATTCCTGGGGCACTCATAAGATCTGCATTTGTTCCAGGTGGGCTGGGCTTATTACAGTATTCCTAAAGCTCCCTGCACCATCCTTTAGAGCTGGTAGGATACCTGTTCTTGGTCCTCTTGGAAAGACATGGCCTAAGACTGGTTTATATGCCTAAAACAAGTCTCCAAGGGGATCCTAAAGAAAATTACCTGAACACCCCTCCGCAACACTGAGCACTTTTGTGTTTTACCAAAAACCATCTCAGAAATGATCTCTTTTGATCTTTAAAACATTTCTGTGAGATAGATGGGCATTCTAATCTCATGTAAGTAAATAAATATAAATTCAAATAGTGATGAATACTAGAAGAGAAATAAAATAGAGGCTGGGGATAGGTGTGTTATTTTTGATAGAGTATTTAGGGAAAACCTTTGTGAATAGATAAAATTTGAGCAAAGATTTGAAAGATGAGAAGCGTGAAGCTGTATGAAATCTGGGGCAAGAGCATTCCGGGTAGAAAGAACAGCAAGTTCAGTGCCTCTGATGTGGGAGCAAACTTTGCATGTTCAAGGAGCAGCCGCCCAAAGTCTGGGGGTCACCCTGCATTTAGTTATTTTTTCTTTTTGTATTTTTATTGCAATTGCAGCTCAGTTGTTTGTCATATGTTCATTTTCTGCTAAGTGATGCCATTATTTTTCTACTTTACCACAGGTTATCATTGCCCTTTCAGAAAAGCACCGTTCCCACATCCCCTATAGGAACTCTATGATGACCAGCGTCCTAAGGGACAGTTTGGGAGGGAACTGCATGACGACCATGATCGCGACACTCTCTTTAGAGAAGAGGAATGTTGACGTAAGTGGTTCTTCTTATTGGAGATCTCCATCTGAGTTTTTCTTGTTCATGTATGAAATGGACTTGAGGGTCCTGGTTGGGTTTCCACCTTTGCAGCTGGGCTGGGCTATGCCTTCAGAGGTAAATACAGCGCAGAGGTCACAGCTTTGGGTTATTTGCCAGCATCATAATAACCTCATTTGAGAATTGACTTCATGTAGCACAGGATGGTTTGAAGAAGCTTCATACACAGATTTTGGAGGGCCTGCTGGTGGGTTACTTACCTTAGCCAGAGAAATGAGAGAGGTGACCCATCAGCTTCTGCTCGTTTTTACTCCTGATTTCTAAGATCTTGGTAGTTTGAAAACATTCTTGAGGGGTTTCTCCTAGCATGTTACTGCAGAGGTTGGCAGTAGAATGACTTTCTTGGGTGGCTTTAGAGCCAGCTGATGTTTTACACGCTTCAATTTAACATTTGGGATCCAGAAGCTCTCCAGAAGAGGAAAACAGGAAGCACCAAGAGGCCTCTGAAAACAAGGCTAAGTCCCAAGTGCGTTGTAAGATGCTTTGAAAAGCCTTTCATTTTGTTACAAATTTTTATTTTGTAGTCTTCTATGTTTGTGGATTATGGTACCCACTAGGATTATGATTTTATATGTACTTCTGGTTTAACAGATCAATAGTTGTAGAATACATAACACTTGCTACTTAGGGCCTCAGGATATACTATGGTTTTGGCATTGATCTTTTATTAAGCCAAAACAAAAATTTGATAAAAAATAATGTTCTAGAGCAAAGCTGCCTAATTTGGAGGCAAGTCTTTTCCTCATTATATTTTATCCACATCACTCTTTAGGTATGTATCTTTTTTTTTTCTCCTTGTGAACAAAAATTATGTTTTATCTAGAAAGAAATATCTCTCTAGGCTATAACATTTTTTTTTTTTTTAATTGTACTTCAGATGAAGGCTTACAGAACAAATAGTTTCTCATGAAACAATAGTACACATATTGTTTTATGACATTGGTTAATAGGCCATAACATTTTAAGGAGATATTTTGCTTTCTTAGGAATCTATATCTACCTGCAGATTTGCACAACGAGTGGCACTTATAAAGAATGAAGTTGTTCTAAATGAAGAAATTGATCCCAGATTGGTAGGTAACTTTTGACTGACTATGTTAAAAAAAGTCAAACTATATCAAAGATTCACTGAAGTTTGTGAGGCACTTACTCTGTGCCAGACAATGTTCTAAATACTTGAAATTTATTAACTCATGTAAACTTCACAGCAACATTGTGAGTAGATGGTATCCCTATCTCCATTTTACAGATGACAAAACTGAGGCACTGAGATATTAAATAACTTGCTCAGGGTCTTACTGCTGATGAGTAGCAAATCCTGACAGTCTGGCTCAAGAATCTGTGCTCTTAAAAGAGAATGAATAACACCAAAGACACATGGAAAGTAGTAGCCCAAGAGACATAAAAGGACACATAAACCAGAGACTCCATCAGCCTGAGACCAGAAGAACCAGATGGTGCCCGGCTACCACAATGACTGCCCTGACAGGGAACACAACAGAGAGTCCCTGATGGAGCAGGAGAAAAGTGGGGTGCAGAACTCAAATTCTAGTAAAGAGACCAGACTTAATGGTTTGACTGAGACTGGAGGGACTCCAGAGGACATGACCTCTGGACTCTCTGTTAGCCCAAAACTAAAACCATTCCAGAGGCCAACTCCTCAGACAAAGATTAGACTGGACTATGGGACATAAAAATGATACTCATGAAGAATGTGCTTCTTAGCTCAAGTAGATACATGAGACTAAATGGGCAGCTCCTGTCCAAAGGTGAGATGAGAAGACAGAGAGGGTCAAGAGCTGGTTGCATGGACACAGGAAACTGGAAGTGGAAAGGAGGAACGTGCTGTCACAGTATAGGGAGAGCAACTAGGGTCACATAACTATGTATAAATTTCTGTATGAGAGACTAACTTTAATTGTAAAGTTAAAGCACAACAATTTAAAAGAAAATAGTATAAAAAAAAATCTGTGCTCTTAACTACAGTTCCCCGTTGCTTCACTATTAAATGTGGTGTGATTCCTGGGGACTCATACAGTGTAATAATGTTGTCATTAGATGCCGTCGAGTCAGTTCTGACTCATAGCAACCCTCTGTGCAGCAGAATGAAACACTGCCCAGTCCTATGCCATCCTCACAATTATCGCTATGTTTGAGCCCATTGTAGCCACTTTGTCAATCCATTTCACTGAGGTCTTCCTCTTTTTTGCCAACTCTCTACCAAGCATGACATCCTTCTCCAGGGACTGGTTCCTCCTGACAACATGTCCAAAATATGTGAGATAAAGTCTCGCCATCCTCGCTTCTAAGGAGCATTCTGGCTGTACTTCTTCCAGGGCAGATTTGTTCATTCTTCTGGCCATCCATAGTATATTCTATATTCTTCATCAATGCCATGATTCATATCCATCAATTCTTCTTCGGTATCCTTATTCATTCATAATATTCAGCATAATAATACACGCTTATATTTTATGCAGGTCTTAGCGATTCAAAAAACATCAGTTCAGCTATCTAGAAACAATTATAAACAGACCATCTTTTAGGAAAGCTTATAGAGAAACAGAAGTCCTAATTGTTATTAAATAGAACCATAGTTTGCATAACTGTCCTGTTATTTATTCTAGAGATTTTTAAAAATTAATGATCAGCTTAATCAATGTGTCAGTGTCCAGTTTCTGGTTTATGACAATAAATCCTGCTTTATCAAAGCACTTTTTTTCAGCAAAAATATTTATAAGTTACATATCTTACCTACTTATTATAAATTCAGGTATTTTCTCTTTTCTCTATTTTAAGCTTCTATAAAATGAAATGTAACACTATCTACTCATGTCAATATTGAAAATATTGAAATAAAATATTTCAATTTTGTAAAATTCCATCATTTAGATTATATTATTTTTCAAATAATTCTGCTATTTTAAAAAATCTCTAGAAAATAAGCTGGTGTAAGCTTAGTAATTTGCATTATAAAAAAGATGTGAGAGACTTCTGGCAAAATGGCGCTCTAGGCAGAAGCACCACGCCATCCCTCCACAGCAAAGATCTGAAAAACTAAGCAGAACAGAGAAAACAACAATCCTGAAACCCTAAAACATCAAATGAAGAGATAAAAAACTCAGCCGGGGACCAAATGGAGTGAGAAAACTGACGAGAACGGAGAGTGAGGAGAGATTCATGCACTGGTCCCCTACCAGCTAACGCAGCACAGATCCGCCACCTTGGACTCCTATCAGAGACCAGCAAACAGGGGGTACGAGAAAGCAGCTTCACAGAGCTTCCAGCGGGAGACAAAACAACCAGTAATTTGTGATATACGCTTTCCC